TAGAATGAAAAGCCAAGCTAATATGAATTTATAAGGTCCATACTTTTAAGACCACCTAACCTGGCCAGCCACTGGTGGGTTTACCTGTGCATCCCATGCTGCATCACTCCACAGGCCGCCCTGCAGCATGGCGTGGTTGCTGGCCGGAGAGGCTTTGGCAGCATCTTTGTGGTGGCCAGTGGCAATGGCGGCCATCACAACGACAACTGCAACTATGACGGCTACGCCAACTCCATCTACACCGTCACCATCGGTAAGGCTCAGCCCGGCGTGGGGCTCACTGGGCTTTTGCCTCCCTCGGGCAAGGCTGCCTCCTGTCTGGCCGGGCGGTGGGCGGGTGCCCTGGTGGTGGATGGGGAGCGGTTTGCATCCTGTGCCACTTGAGACGCAGAACGGATTCTGCCGGTCGGGAGGGAACGGAGAGATTTCGCAGCAACCTTCCGCTGCCACGCCCACCAAGCCACGCCCACAGGACTGGGGGGGCAAAGAAATTGGGATCCCACCCCTGGGCCGAGTGGTCATTTCCCTGCCAGAGAGAGAGAGAGAGAGAGACCGACCCAGCCAGCCTGAGGTTGCCCGTCTGCCTCGTCCATCTGGCCAGGAAGGGAGGCAGCATTGCCAGCCTGTAGGGAAATTGCAGCAGGCTGGGAGCTGCTCAGGAAGAGGCCAGGCGGCTGTCATTCAGTGGGCAGGTGGGTGGGTGGGGCTTAACGGGTCTCTGGGCTCTCCCAAAGGGGGGTGGGCTTCGCTCTGCAGCCACCGAAAAGGAGGCCAGGCTGTTGGCTGCAAGGGAGGCCTTAGACCCTGTGGGGCTCTGCCCCATGGCAAGACCACCCTGGCTGGCAATGCTGGTCCTTGATGGCAGAAGGGGTCCAGTTGGTTCCTGCAGTCCCGAGCAAGTGCCAGACCTCCTGGGGGTCTCTGCTCTCTGCTCCCCAGGCGCCGTGGACGAGATGGGTTACAAGCCCTTCTACGCGGAAGAGTGCGCCTCCATGCTGGCCGTGACCTTCAGCGGAGGAGACAAGTTGATGAGAAGCATTGTGAGTAGAGCCCCCTCCAGCCCCTCCCGCCCTCTCTCAATGCTGGGGGGGAGGGAAGGGGGGGCTTTCCCTCCTTTTGGATGCCAAGGAAGGTTTCACCTGCCCTTCCCAGGTGGGCTCTTCAAGGCTTCCCAGACTGGCTTACATCTTCCCTCTCGCCAGCCCCTGCAGAGGCCCCTTGCCCCCTTTATTGGCAAAGGCCTGGCACCGGCCCCTTCCCTCGGAGGCTCCTTTAGGCCGCCCGCAGGGCCTGGAGGGGAAAAAAACCTCTTTTTTCCCGGGTGCCTGGCAGGATTAGCCCAGATCCCTTCCCAGCCAGAGGGAGGCCCAGGCGGCCCCAGGACTCCTCTGCTTTGCGAGGGGAGGAGGGCCAGCAGCCCCACCCACTCTGGAGGCTCTCCTCTTTGTGCGTCCTTGGACTCCTCAGTGGGAGCTCCCCCCAGCCCCCCAGCCCCCACTGAGAAGTCCAGGGTCCCCCCCCCTTCCCAGCTGGCCCCTCCTCAGGCAGGGCTCCCGTTTCTCTGCAGGCCACCACGGACTGGGATTTGCAGAGGGGCACCGGCTGCACAGAAGGGCACACGGGCACCTCTGCTGCAGCCCCCTTGGCTGCCGGACTGATCGCCCTCATGCTGCAGGTGCGCCCGTGCCTCACCTGGAGGGACGTCCAGCACATCATCGTCTTCACGGCCACCAAGGTGAGCCAGGCCCACAGAGCCCCCCCCCCCCCCCCCTACCCCCGGCGCCCCCCCCCCCCCCCC